GGAGGAGGCTAAAAGCTGGAATCTCTGTTTAAAAGCATTAATGTATACCAAGCTGGCATTTAAAAAAGCCTGCCAGTTGTCCTGCAGGATTTGAGGCTCAGAGAATGGAGATATTCTGAAGCACATGTGTGCTGATTGTCCAACAGCTCAGCTGATCAACAGCTGAACAGCACTGGAAACAGGCTGGACTGACCACACGGTACACAGTACACAGAACACCGCACCCAATAAGGCAACATACATTCTTAAGCACCCATGAAGATTCATCTACTATTAGCCATGTTTGACATCACAAAACAAACTTCAATACAACCAAAAGGATGGAAACTAATCTTTCAAAGATTTATTTACTTATTTATTTAATGTATATGAATGCTCTATTTGCCAGAAGAGGGCATCAGATCCCAGTATAGATGGTTGTGAGCTACCATGTGGTTGCTGGAAATTGAACTCAGGACCTCTGGAAGAGCAGAACAGTGCTCTTAGCTGTTGAGCCATCTCTCCAGCTCAAAATCAAATTTCTTACTCAGGGTATAATGAATGTAGAAATTAACAGCAAAAGATCCAGGCTTGATAACAGCACTTGGGAGTCAGAGTTTAAGGCCAATGGGTTAAAAAAGAAAATCATAAGGGAACTCTTCCATATGATTAAAAATGAAGATATAACACATCCACACAGTAGTCCTTCAGGGAGAATTTATAGGTGCAAATGCCTGTATAAGAATAAAATTTCAACATCGCAAGAGGAAGAAACAGGACAGGAGCCTACCACAGAGGGCCTATGAAAGACTCTACCCAGCAGTGTATCAAAGCAGATGCTGAGACTCATAGCCAAACTTTGGGCAGAGTGCAGGGAATCTTATAAAAGAAGGGGGAGACAGAAAGACCTGGAGAGGACAGGAGCTCTACAAGAACAACAGAACCAAAAAATCTGGGCAAAGGGGTCTTTTCTGCGACAGATAATCCAACCAAGGACCATGCATGGAGATAACCTAGAACCCTTGCACAGATGTAGCTCATGGCAGCTCAGTCTCCAAGTGGGTACCCTAGTAATGAGAACAGGGACTGTCTCTGACATGAACTCAGTGGTTGGCTCTTTGATCACCTCCTCCTGAGGGGGGGAGTAGCCTTACCATGTCAATGGAGACAATGCAGTCAGTCCTGATGAGATCTGATAAGATAGGGTCAGAGGGAAGGGGAGGAGTACCTCCCCTATCAGTGGACTCGGGGAGGGGTATGGGAGGATAAGAGGGAGGGAGGGTAGAACTGGAAGGGGTTGAAGGAGGGGGCTACAGCTGGGATACAAAGTGAATTAACTGTAATTAATAAAAAATAATTTTTAAAAAATTTAAAAAAATGCAATTTCAGCCAGACAGGGTGGCCCATGCCTGTAATCCCAGCACTCTGTGTGGGAGGCAGATCTCTGTGAGTTGAAGGCTAACCTGGTTTACAAAGCGAGTCCAGGACAGCCAAGGCTACACAGAAAAACCCTGTCTTGAAAAAAAAATAATAAAAAGAAAATAAATCTCATCTACACAAACAAAAAACACCCAAACCACCTCACAACAATAGACTTCTCTACTTCAAGAGATGTAAGGGAAAACTAAAGCTATAATAGAAAAAGGGAAAACAGTAAAGGTAAATCAACAAATCTGGTTCTTTGGAAAGATATACAAGAATTGCCAAATCTAAATTGACAGACTGCTAAAGAGAGAAGGTGAGAGGGAGAGAGAAATGTAACTTTTAATTGGCTGAGTTAATTGATGTCTTGGAGGCTTACTGCTTCTGTCTGCTAACATAGGCCTAGTACTGGAAGCTTCTAGCCTCCATACACTCTAACCAAGGCCTAGAATGTTTTCAGACCCTAAGACTGCTGAATAAGCTTACCCTTTCTAGCTTTTTCTGAATGCTGCATGGCTGTTTCACCTCAGCTGTTCTGGTTCAAGCTTCTCTTCAAAGCTGACTGATTTAATCTGGCTTCTTTCAGCTTCACACTAAATTGCTCTGCTTGGCCTCAAACTAACTCTAGCAATCAGTTCTAATTTTCCAGCTCCTTCTGTCTTCACCAGTGTCTAGCTTGTTGTCTCTGAAACCTATCTCTGTAAAACTGTCCTGGTAAAACGGCCTCCTCTCCCTCAACTGAACTGCCTGAACAGCACTGAGCAGATTTAGGAGATCTGCAAGTCTCTGTCTCTTGAGTGCTGGGATTAAAGGCGTATACCACCACAGGAGGAAAGAAATTGGTGCTAACATATAGAGTCAGAATAAACAGTAACAATGTGGCAATTCTACACAACATAGGCCCAAACATCTATAAAACTGCCATTGTACTGATCCTTTAAAAAACAACAGCAATTAAAACCACTCAGGCCAGTGGTGATATTGCAGACAACAGTTCTTCCTGTATGAGAATCAGGAAAATTCAGGTCTTTCTGCACATGGGACTTAGGGGAATTCTGTCATTCAGTATCAGCTAGATGCCCTGTATAAGCCTCTCCGGTAAACTCTGGTAAGTGGCTAATTTCAGATTATGAGCACTCAATTTAGGGACCCTGGAGTATTTACTTAGGAAAATAGGCCTACATGACTGTACATTAGGAACCTATAAGGATATACTTTCCACCTGCTTGGAAAGGATCCTCAGATGCCATTAGTGCATGGTGTGTGCTAAGAGCTGCCTTTGGTCCATTTGAGTATATAGCATTGTCAAGGGGCCCTGCTTGCTGTCCTTTTTATGAGGAATGGTAAAATCAACCTAAGCCCCTGTGCTAATTTTATGTCAACTCGACAAAAGCTAGTTATCTGAGAGAACTTCAGTTGAGAAAATGCCTCCGTAAGGGCCAACTGTAGGACATTTTAATTAGTGCCTGATGGGGGAGGGCCCAGCCTCACTGCAGGTGGTGCCAACCCTGCAGTGGTTTTGGGTTTTATAAGAAAGCAGGCTGAGCAAGCCATGAGGAGCAAGCCAACAAGCAGCACCCCTCCATGGGCTCTGCATCAGCTGCTGCCTCCAGGTTCCAGCCTTGTTTCCTTTTCTGTCCTGACTTCTTTCAACGATGGACTACCACATGGAGGTGTAAGCCGAACCAATACTTTCCCCCCTACTTGCTTTTGGATGTGGTGCTGTATCACAGCAATTGAAACCCTAACGAGGACAGCTCCATTCGATGCCTTCTGGAAATCCAAACTCTTATTTCTGTCAGCCACAGGGGCTGTATTCAGGTGGTCACATTTAGTTTCCAGGCTGCTTTCTTCCTGGGACAAGATCTTCGGACAATGAAGATGTGAAAATTCCAAAAGAAAATCAAGCAAAGACTTCTAGGTAGCAAGAGACAAACACTACCAAAGAAACTTCCTGTTTATAAAATATCCTTCAACTTTCTTCCCTCCTCCCCAACGTTGGGAGTTTCTGCTTTCTACCTTAGTTTCAACCATGTTCATCAATCTTGCTGTTAATACTCAGACCTCTGGGGTCCGGCCTTCAACTTACCCCACGTGATGCAAGATTTCTGCCTTGAAAAACACCTGTGACTGGCATACAGTATTTAGTAAAAGATGTCATCTTTCCAGGGACAGCCATTCCCTGAAGCTGGGGAGGATGTGGCTATATATGTTAATACAGAATAAATATTAATTAAATATTCACTAAGGATGAGCCAATAAAAATCAAGTTATGGGAAAGAGGATAATAAAGATCTCTCCCAAGGGTAGGGTAGTGGGGGAAAAAAACCCTCAAAGCGAGGAGAAATAGTCCTTGTTAGGAGGAAGGTCTTCTCCTGGGAGAGTATGAAAAGTGACAAAGGTACAGCTGAGATGCATTTGTAGGTGCCTGGGAGTGGTGGTGGTGAGGAGTTTACTCAAGCAATGACTGTCATTTGCTCAGTAAAGTCAGAATCAAAGTCCTTTGCCAAACAGGGCAATTAGCGGAGGCCTGTGTATTGTGGCCTTCATCGCCTGTGTTTCCAAAGTATGTGATTTTTTTCCACATCACTCACGTTTGTGTATTATCAGAGGAGAAACAGTGACTGGGTAAGAGTGGGAGATACAGGCGCTTGAGTGTTCCACAGTACTAGCACATTTGTATTTCATGCTAAAGGAATTTGCACATTCGTGCTGTTTACAATTTAGCATGTGCACACTGTAATGGGCTGTTTCCAGGTCTAAATGGTCTCGGAGTGTAGGTTGATATAGCAGATACCAAACTTAGAGCATTTCATGAGGTGTCTCATCCTGGATGTCCACAGAATGGAAAGAACAGATGAGGAGGTGAGGGGGCAACAGATCTAAAGGACCTAGCTGATCACCTGAGTAGAGGGGCAGGTAAGCTCCAAAATGATGGATGCCTGTTATGTCCAGCCTTCCCTGGAACATTTGCAGCTTTGGAGAAGAGATGCAGTTCTCTTAAGGTCTTAATCCACTTTTCCAGACTGCCAGCTCTCTGAGCAAATACATCTTCCAAGAGTCAATTTTGTCTCTTCCAAGAAACTTTGTAGTCACAGCACAAAGCCTTGTATTTGTTAAACAGAGCAAGATGCTATCTAAGGGAAGGTGGGGCTGAAAGAAAACTGGGTACTTCCCAAGTGGATATGCATAAAATGTGAGGCATTAGGATTAAAATATACAATAAGAAGTTGCTGACTAGGCACACTATTGTTGGAGCTATCATTCAGAAATAAGCTTTAAATCACAGCATGTGAGCAGGGCAGGGTGGCAGGAGAGTTGTGATTCAAGGCTCGCCTCAGATGAGTAAATGACATAAATTACAATGTTCTACGGTATGATTGACATGGATTGTTTTTGTGCACGGATAAAAAGTACTGGCACTGGAGCGAGGAGCCCCGACGCTACACTATCTGACTGATGATCTACAGTGACAGTTCGATGTTTCCATTGTGGCCAGCTAGGGAAACTGAGGAAGGGTATGCTAAGTGCCACAGGCTTCTAAGAGGATGGAATGTGGTGTGACTAAGTTGTGAGGAAGAAAAAGAAACATTTAAATATCACTACAAGTAATTTTAATTCTAACACTGACATCAACATTTACTTATAATAAACATCACAAATTGCTCATGTTATAAAAGAACCATTTTTTAACCTAGAATGTGAGGGAAAATGTAGATACTGGCAAGCAGGAGACAGAAAATACCACTTCAGTGTTTGCCTCTGATGGTTTGAAATGATCAACACATGATACTAAAGCCTCAAGTGTAATTTTGTACGCGTGCTGATGTGTGCATGATCACGGATGTGTGCTTCGGACAACTGTGGAGGTTGGAGGGCACCTTCAGGCACTTGTCCTCATTCCTAACTTGAGACAGGGTCTCTTGTTTGTTCTTGAATACATCAGGCTAACTGGCCCATGATCGTGATAAAGTTTTCTTCCTATACTAAAAATTTATAGCAGTAATGGAATAAATCTTCATTAATGGCATACTTTGATACTATGCTGTGCAGAGGAAAGAAAAGCTCCAGTAACACCTTCCCTTTTTAGAAGACACATTGTCCTTCTGGTTACATGGGATCTGCCTGTAATCTGGCATCATGTCATAGTACAAAATTAGCAGTTACAAAGAACTATATAGCTTTCTAAAAGAGATCCACCAATCAATTATCAGGAAAACTGTGTTTGCTTTCTTTCTTTCTGACCGGAGAATTTTCTTAAGCTACATTATTATGTGCTAGTTGTAAAAAAAAAAAATGGAGGTAAATACACTTACTTTCATGTTCAGTCACCATTTGTAGGTGTCTGGAACAAAACCCGAAAAAAGAACTATTCTTTAAAAAGAAGACATTCAGAAGACTGAGCTACAAGGTTCATATTTAACTTCTAAGCAGCAAGGGTTAAACTGCAGAACATTGGTAACAATAACACTTAATGGAAAATAGTTTATCTTAAATGTCAGTCTAAATAAAAAAAGCCTCTTATAATGAACTAGAAATTATCCAGTTGTTTATTTTTATTATATAGCAGAGATAATGAACATATTAAAAAGAAAAACTAATTTTATACCAACACCATTCAGAAAGTAGAGATCACCTTCTCATAAAGCTGTGGCTCCTTTCCCTTTAACCTAAGTTTAGTTCAAGGAAGACGTTTACACAATTATGTAATTAACGTTAGCCTATACATAGTAATTAAATTATTCAAAGCCTCAATATAGTAGCTAATTTTTTGAAAATGACTTTTTAACACAACCTACTTTGTAAAGTAAAAAATATTTTATGTGCTATTACCAACTATCTTCTTTGAAAATTCCTCTGTATCAGAACATATTTATTTCTCTTTATTTTCATTTTCTATTTTTTGTGTATACCTTAGAAAAGTAAAAATCACATATAAACATTGTCAACTATTATGTTTCTAAACTCAAGATAACAGATTATAACCTAAGTATTTAATTTCTACAATGACTAACCTTTAAAACTCAAAAAATTGCTTCCCATGTAATTTTAAAACTGCACTATAAAATGCCTATTTATGGGTGGCAACATGTAAAGGATAAAATAAATGTATAGAACCTGAACGTAAAAAGATGGCCTGGCTCTATACATAGAAAAATAGGTGCAGTCTGACTCCAAATGTAGCCTGGCATTATCTAAAGTCTGATGAGAAGGCTCAAAGCACAGCCAGAAGCCCAGACTATAAAGACCTGAAGCAATGGGCTGGCCAAGGGCTTACCAGGCCCACGATGATTACCAGGCAGAACTGCTGGCACAAAACACTCACGTGTCAGAAGTGAAGAGTCACAAATGGGAAGGCAGTCTCCTAACAGTACACACTGCTGTCAATTACATCCATAAGCACAAAGTGTTAATGTGTCACTTATAACTCAACATCTTTGGTTTTCAAAGAAATATACTTTAAAGAATAAAAATACATCAATCTGCACTAAGCCATACTCATGCTAAATAAAGTTTACTTAACAGCTGAAGGTCAACATTCCAAGTGTGTAGAACTATCTTCAGAGAACATGGAATGTAACAATGCTTAGTTCAGCTTAGATATCATCAATGTCTTCATCATCATCTCCAATATCATCAAACTGGATTTCATCATCATCCCCAGTACCAAACGTGTCCGTTTCGTTGATTTTAGCATGTTCTGGAAGTTCTCCATATGCCTTCAGACTTCTTGCTTCATCTGCATTATACTTTAAGATTACATCAGCTTTGTTATCTTGATAGTCTCGTAGACCAATCAATATAATGTCTGAGGTATTTATCCAAACCTTTTTTCTCAACTTTCCTCTGATGTGGCATAGCCTCTTCACACCATCAAAACACATTGCTTCCAACCGTCCATTTCCCAGCATTTTGATCACCTGTGCATATTCTTGCCCATCCTCTTTAAACACCAACTCTCTTTTTTCAGATTCATTTTCATTTTTACCTCGGCGCCTGTTTTTGCCTCCTTTGCCTTTATTCTTTGGCATGATGGTAAAGGGCAACCACAGGAAATGGTCGATGTGACTCTTTTCCAAGAGCTACCACTAGGATGGGTGGCAGTAAGTATCTAACAGCAGTAGATATGAAGCAACTGTGTAGCTGCTACTGGAGCTTTCTGGTAACTCATAAGAATAGAAGATCCACAGGCAGCAAACAGTATTCCAGAGACCTGGCTTCTGCTGGCTGAAAAAACAAAAATACTTTTAGTAAAAATTCCTTGTAAACATTAAGTCACTGTGGAGAGGAAGCTGGGCCAGCTCTGGGTTGCACTGTGTTGTTTGGAATACTGGCTTCCACTCTCTGCCTAGCCAGACTGCTCTAACTAATGAAACAACAGCTTGACCCGAGCTGCTCCATTTTCAGCGTAATTGCCAAGGAGGAATGGCTCCAACATCTTATTTACGAAAGTAAACACCAGTATCTGACAGCGTATCAGGGGACACAAACTGGTATTTTGTGCCAATAGTGAGACCTGAAAATATGCCAAATCTTACCAGAATACAAAATACAAGCTTACCAAGCACACAGATGGAACCCCTTACTTGGGACTGTTAACAGAAGCTGCACCCAGAGGCCAAATGTGGCAGTACACTAATCTCTTGGTCACCTTCAAAAGTTTATCCAGAAATACCAGCACAGCACACAGCAAAGAACTCCTGCTTCTGTGCCAGGTCTCCAGCTCCAGTAGTTTCTCCTCACTGAGGCTCTGCCACTTCAAACCGTCTCTCAAATGGCCTGCGACCCAGACTGTATTTGATGTCTTTGCATTTGAACAGCTGGCTGTGGTCTGGTGTCCTACAGGCCCGCACCTGCTCCTGCAGTAGCTCTTGGCCTTTAGAATAGCCATTTTTCACTCTTGAACACAGCAGCTTTTTAAACTCTTTCTTAACAAAGATTTTGCAACCCAATCATACCAGTGGGGCGCAGTGTGTGATTTAGAAGTTAGTATTAGTAATTAAGGTTGCAGTAAAAAAACTTGCAATTGCCAGTGGTAAGCTATTAACAAATCTAGATTTCAATAAAATTAAAAATCAAAACTAATGTGGTTTTATGATTTATTATATTCAGTAAGTTCTGACATTGTATAAAGACAAACATGTCCAGCTACACACAATACTCGATAATTTTTGTTATTAAAAAATTAAAATATGAGCTACATGTCTTTAATGTCAGCATTCGGGAGGGGCAGGTTGGCAGGGGCAGGCCAACCTCTGTGAGTTCAAGGCAATCTACAGAGCTAGTTCCAGGGCAGCCAAGGCTACACAGAGAAGCCCTGTCTTGAAAAGACAATATATATATATCTATAGATAGATATCTATAGATATATCTATGTATATCTGATAAATTACTTTTGTATGTTTGTGTGTAGGCAACACATGCACACATGACCAGAGGTCAACACTGCTATCTTCTTCACTCACTCTCCATCTTGTTAACTGAGACAGGATCTTTCTCTTATTGAACCCGAAGCCCATGGATTCAGCTAGCCCTAGGGATCCTCTTCTTGTCTGCCTCCTCAGTGCCAGGCATACTGGGTGGAATAAGCCCAGAAGCTGGTAATTAAGCTCAAGTACTTGGGCTCACACAGCAATTCTGTTAATGTCTTCTTCATAGAGTCACCATGAACTACAAATAGTAATGTAAACAATGTTAGACACAACCTCATATTTGTAGGGCTTGGAGATCCCACAAATTGTTTATATAAATATGAAAAGTTTAAATCATGAGCTATAGATCAAAAGCATTTTCTACCAATATTTCAGTACCTTTGCAGAAACTGATTAATGGGCTATTAATGGTAGGCAAAATTCTGTGGATATGCAAAGGCCTCAAAGAGCCAAAAGACAGAGTGATGGCACACATATAAGACTAGTGAAATTGGGTGTGATGCCATTGGCCCTTCCTTTGCTATAAAGTATGCCTCCATTCTGTGATTCGGGGCAGAATCCCACTCATTTCCATTAACATAATATAAGCAACCCCATAGATGTGAGGGTTAACCAGTGCTCAGCCACATCATTCTGCTCTACAGACAAAAAAATACATTTCCAGCCATGGCTGTTCACATGGAGTCTGGCTTTTTCATCTCTCTTTTTCTCTACTTATGTTCTCTAGGGAGCTATCAGAATAACCCACAAGAGACAATATTTTAAAAAGCATTATCACTGTAGCAATCAAGTTCCATAGCTACTTGATTTCTTAATACCTTGTCATTCCAGGTCGTCAACAGTGATAGTTGAGCAACAGTACCCATTTCTCCCCGTATTCTTCAAATATTACACAACACAATCTAGGGTCTGATGCTATTTCAAAAATTCTGCTTTGATTTCTGGTGCAAGTCACAGTATCAAATCACTGTGCCAATCAGGGGTTCACTGGGGAAAAGACGGTGCAGTCAACTTGGGTAATACATAGAGAGGAATCATTTATAAACATGTAATAGCAAAGCACACCATAAAGAACAGTACAATTCTTCTAGGGTTATCAGCAGTAGAGTTTCATATTTAGTGAAAGAAGAAACAATAACTAGTACAAGATGCTTAGGCAAGAAATTCTGACACCCTTGCTTACACTTCTATTGTCTTGGCACAACTACCTGTAGTTATGAGGCTTCATTCCAGCCTCCCAGCTCTGGGCTCTCTGTGGATTTATGTCTATCCTAATGCCAGAACCACATGTTGTCTATTTTTTTTTTTTTTTTTGCATAAGTTTAAAAATTAAAAGGTGTGACTTATTAAACTTTATTCTTTGGGGTATCCCTCACCACTCTGCCTTTTGGCTGTTTGAGGCCTTTGCATATCCACAGAATTCTGCATACCATTATAGCCCATTCATCAATTTCTACAAAGATAACAGACATTTTGGTAGAAAATGCATTTGATCTATAGCCCATGATTTAAACTTTTTCATATTTATATAAACAATCTATAGGATCTCCAAGCCCTACAAATGAGGCTGTGTCTAACATTATTTATATTACTATTTGTATGGTGACTCTATGAAGAAGCCATTAACAAAATTACACTGTTGGAAAGTGACAATAAGAAAGCAACTTTGGTATGTTCTTTCACCACTCCCTCCCCATGGGTCATGCTATCATTAATAAAAAATCATGCTTTAGCTGAGTGTGGTGGCACATGCCTTTAATTCCAACACTCACTGGGGGCAGAGGCAGGTGGATCTTTGAGTTCAAGTCTAGCCTGGTCTACAGAGTGAGTCTAAGACAGTCAAGGTTACATAGAGAAATGTGGTCTTGAAAACAAAAAAAACCAAACGTTTTGATAGTATAGTATTTTCCTATATTCTCTTAAAAAAAGCTGTGTAAATTAGGAATGTAAACTTACTGTCTCTAATTTGCTGTCAAAGCACCCTGTATATTTTTCCCACCACCACATGACAGGGGATGTCTGTCTTTATGTCATGAAAACGTTTCTTGTCAAACTCTGTGTTTTGGGGCAGACACAGAGTTTCTTGTTTCTTATGTCTCCATTTGGCAGTGGAAAGGACTCTGTGATAGCTGAATAGAGAGCTGTTTGAACTTTGACTCTTAGCATTCAGAGCATTTGATTGTCCAACTATTGTGGAGTAACCTAAGGGATAAAAACCAGAGTCCTTTTCAATTTGTAAAACTGATAGTCCTAGCTATACTATTGTAGGGCCCAATAAGAGCCAAGCAAATAAAACAAGGACAACATACTGTTCAGCAATAGAAAACAATGCCCAACCTAACTATTGGTCAAAGAGACGCCAAGGGTATTAAGAGATGTCTTTAGGGGTGGGGAGATGGCTCAGAGGTAAGAACACTGGCTGCTCTTCCTGAGTTCAATTCCCAGCAACTACACGGTGGCTCATAGACATCTATGAGATCTGGTGCCCTCTACTGGCCTGCAGGCACACATGCAGGAAGAGCACTGTATACATACTAAAGAAATAAATCTTTGGGGGAAAAAAAAAAGAAAGCGAGAGATATGTCTTTCAGATTACACAATTAGATCCAGTGTGAGTTGGGGAGACTAGCATTCTTGATCAGTCCTGCTGGAAATAAACTTGGTGGGTATGAAAAAGCAAAATGTGAACATGCTTAGATACTAGAATTCTGCATGTTGTTTAAGTAATGAGAACAGTTTCCACGGGCCTCTTGCCTTCCTCTTAGAGATATAACAAGTCCGCAAGACCCTGACTATTCTTTCTTCAGGCTTTGTCTCAGATTTTTGAGAACTACGGGGTCATCTTTCTTTCTTTTGCTTTCAAGACAGGGTTTCTCTGTGTAATTGCCCTGGCCTGGACTCACTTTGTAGACCAGGTTGGCTTCGAACTGGAGATCCGTCTACCTCAGCCTCCCAAGTGCCACCATGTCTGGCTCTAAGGTGTCATCTTGCATACTTCAAGCTTCAGTAAAAGCAGTGGGTTGTCCAAACCAGCAGGCAGCCTACCTTTGCTGCAGCATAAACCCACTTTGTGCACAGCAGTCACGTAAGCCTCTCTGTGAGACTTGATGGTAAGAGAACACACAAAATATGTGAGGCATAATATGAAATGAGCAACAAAGGCTTTGAAAAAAAACTAACACCCCAATTTCCTACAAACAATTAAGCTGCGTCTATAGGAATTAAGTAGTTAAGTGGCACATGCCTAGAATGCTAGCACTTGGAAGATTGTTAGGAGGATAATGAGTTTGAGAACGGCTTGATAGACACACTGAGTTCCAAGCTAGCCTGGTTTATATGGAGAGGCCCAGGAGCACTTGGCATATTTATAAAGAACAAAGGTTTATGTTTTGGGGGCTCAAATTTAGAGGTTCCAGTCTATGCATGATAGGTTGGCCCCATTGACTTGGTCTACTGCAAGGACGCAAAACTGTTACCTTCATGGCCAAGGAAGAACAAGGGAGGGGAAAACTAGTATCCCATAATTGCCTTAGAGGGCCTGATATAAATGACCTAAAGACGACCCCCACCTCCACTGCACCCTGCCCTTTCAACAGTCTATTCCCCACCTCCTAATATCTTTACCCAACCTTTCCCTCACTGCCCCTTAGAAGACACTCATTTATCCACAATTAGATTGGCGGGGAGTGCACTGGATCCATTTAAATAAATTGTCCATAAATACTGGACTACTTAAATATGCTTTATG